TTATATTAGTAAAATACAGTATGCATTTCGCGTCGATTTAAAACATGTTTACGTGTTTCCCCGTGAATATCCCCCTCACAATAACTACCTCTGCTTCTATCACAGATCTCGGGTCAAAGTACACGGGCGCATTTGTAAATATGTAAAAGTGCGTTCCTCTGTTTACACTTATCAATACATTCATATTTACACTGTCAATAAGGCCGGATTTCATCTGGTAGGTGAGGATTTGTCGCGACCTCCCCAATTTCAATAGTCTTAGTCGACGGCAGGCTAGTGTGGTTGAAATAGCACGTTTCTGAATATGAGAATCATTCACAGGCTTGACTTGTCTTCGTACACATATTCCAATTATTTAGAGTGTTTTACCTCCACTCTGTTCAGATAACTACACTGGACGCATTCGCTATCGTTGTTTCGTTTTGAGTCCGAGTCGAATGGCACGACGCTAAAAATAGCCTTCCAATCATATTACTCTCATGAGCGAGAGAAATTATGTGCTGTAAGTTAGAGATGGGAGCTATGCGATCCGTGACGCTATTTCCGAGTCCGGGGTATTTATTTAAAGTAAATCCTGTTCAAATCGGCGTAAAACAAAGCTCCCTCACTCGTATGCCCCCAGCAATAAAAAATAAATAAATAAAAAAAAAAAGTTAAAAAGAAAGAAAAACAAAACATCGAGATATTGTCATGACATGTGAAATTGGGCAAGTTTTCATCACCTGCCCCGGTGCCTCTTGGGAAAACAGTGGGTTACAAAACTTAACACGATATGTGAGGATGCAGGTTCCCATCACGTCATGGCATTTTCATGTAAAAATGTGACGTGGAACCAATACAAATTGAATATTTTATGAAACGTCAATTGTAAAACCTAGGTATTACAGTTGAAATGTAAAACCTCAAGGCAGGTTTAAAAGTGACCCGCTTCAACACCTAGGTTTGGAAGATGAGCTGGTTATCAGGAACTTAATGCAATCTTGAGTAATACGGTGATAGGTTTATAATCCGGGGTAGAACTGACCCCCCAAAACCTCTGCTTGTCGTACGAGGCGACTTAAGGAATGGACTCAGAAACTTGGTTGACTGTGAGTCATCGTGTCCCGACAGCGTGTGGCTGTTTGCTCATGCTATCAAACACTGGTTTGCCTGGTTCAGAAACGATCATTTTCAGACCGCCATCACATAACTCAAATAACGCATGGGTGTGGCGTTGAACAACTGTATGTGTGTGTGTGTATGCGTGCGCGCGTGCGTTCGTGTGCGTGTGTGTATGTGCGTGTGTGTGCGTGTGTGTGTGTGCGTGTGCTTGTACATGCCCACCGAGATTTCATGCAGTTTAACATAGATACCCCACTCAGATACAGTGGGAATCGAACCACCGACCTTCCGCTCGAGGGCAGGTACTCTTTCCACTAGGCCACGGAGGAGGTCAATTAAACACAAACATTCATCGGAAAACTGAAGTATGGACAAAATACACACACTTTTTAAACAAGGTCAATATTGTAAAATATTTATAACTTACAGTTTAAGAAGCAATTAGGGGCGAATGCAAATCAATACTACTACACGTTTGACGGTCTTGTCAGAAGAAGTGTGATGTTTCATGTGATCTTAACTGCTGTTTTATAATATTTTATACAGTGTTATAATGAGAATTGATGTCCCAAAGACCCACCAGGCCGGGTGCAGAGCAACCACTTTAAAGAAACTCGATATAATTGTACCTGATAAATTAAATATCTCCCTGTTCTTCTTTTTCTGTACAAGGAAAACCTAGTGCAGTCTGGTTAATTGTTTCTATTGATTGGTTTAATTTATGTCGGTGCAGTCGTGCATAACGCTAATGGACGCAGGCGATCACGTGACGTGGGTAAGCATTGCAAGATTGGCGTGAGAAGGGACAATTGCTGACAGTCTTTGACACTCATTGGGCACTGTTGGTAATTAGAGCTGGATCTGGGTTGTCTGGGCTCCAGGCAACACTTGAGGGGGTTGTGTCATAACACGGTTTCAGTGTTTTTCATTGAGTGAGTTTAGTTTAACGTCACTTTGAACAGTATTCCAGTTATATCACAACGTGCCAGCTTGATGTGGGTGAAAAGCCCGAAGTGATGCGGGTCTCAGAGGTTTACCACTTTGGGGAAATCCACGAGATTTTTATGGTGCTGATACACCTTGAAACATAAGCAGGGCGAACCGGGATTCGAACCCGCGATAGTACGTTTCTTGCACGCTTAAGAGACGCAACCCTAGGCCTGTACAGAGAATCACGGCCCTTAGGGGACACCCCATCCGTGCCGTCCCGTGTCTTTAAAGATTGGGTCTATCCGGCATGGTTTAAATTTTGTTTTACACTAACAATAATAATGGGATTTAAAAATAAGTGTGTTACGTAAAGAAGGTGAGGTGAGCTGAGGTGAGATGGGGTGAGATGAGAAGAAATGGCGTTTAATGTCGCGTTCAAGATTAGTGAGCTTCTATAGCCACGTTCATGTGAGTCTAGTAGCTTATGCTAGTCTGGAGTAATGCCGGTTTTATAGTGCTAGTACATTGAAATACCATGCTGCAGTTTTAATATGAGTGAGTGAGTATGGTTTTACGCCGCTTTTAGCAATATTCCAGCAATGTCACAGCGGGGGACACCGTAAAATGGGCTTCACACATTGTACCCATGTGGGGAATGGAACCCGGGTCTTAGGCGTGACGAACCAACGCTCTAACAACTAGGCTACACAACCCCCCAGTTTTAAACATGAACACTTAACTGAGACACATTATACTGATTCAAAGCCGATCGCGAGCGCCAGGCAGGGTAAGGACAAGCACCATATTTTAACGTCTTTTGGTATGACGCGGGCGGGGATCGAACCACCGACCGTCCACTCTCTTCCAGTAAAGGACAGATTGATAGGTCCATGGACCAAATGCATGTATATTATATAGATGCATGAATTGGTGAGATGTAGTTGTGTTACATTCAGAAATACGTTCAGAAATACGTACGCACGCACACACGCACGCACGCACGCACGCACACACGCACCGAGAGGGCCATACCTAAGTGGCTACGAGTCGTTTGTTCGAGTTATATCATTATATACGTACCGTCTGAACTCATGGATTTCCTGAATTTTCTGTCGTATTCGTAGCCGGTATTCGGTACAATAATTAACAGTCTGATAGTGAATTAGTCTGGACACAATCACTGGATTGTCGGGTCCAGTCTCGATTAATTACAGACCGCCGTCATATAGCTGGAATATTGCTGAGTGTGGCGTTAAACAACAACAACAACCAAAACCAAAACCAAAACCAAAACAAAACCTAAAAATAGACTTGATATATCCCATTTAGCCACCCGTTGTAATACTGACATTCTGGGACAATTATCACCACCACTGAAATGTACTGCTAAGTGTCTCTACTTTCATACAATACACAGTGGGAACTGTCGTACCATGAAGTCGACGTTGTTCGCCTGCATACATAATACACAAGCGTTCATATAAATCTCTTTATGACTAATGTCTCCATTAAGGACAGTTGTATGCGATTTATGAGCATCGCCATACTGTAATAAACACGTGACAAGCCTTTGATCTGGACTTATTGTCCGACATTGCTGGATCTAGTGCTAGACTTATTAGTTAGTCAGTGGGCCGAACACCTTTAGTATGACTTTCATGCTGACACCTGGAGAGACCATGAATACGAATGAAAGTATGTATCAGGTAAATCGTGGCTTCTGTGGCAGCGAGAGGTTTATTGAGAGCAATTGGGTCAGTAAGTATAGTATGAATACATCGCGGTAACATTTGTTGAAATTAGCTTACTTTTCGTAGTTTCAAAATATTGTTATTGTTGACATGTATTATTTGTTATTGATGGATTATGCTACGGAACCTCATTAATCTGCATCCCTGTTATTTCCCTTCCCCTCGTATCTCTCGGTAAATGTGGCACCGTGCCGTCTCGAGGAAATTAGTTCAGTCGTCGAAGGCGCCGCAATTAGCTGTGAAGAGTTGCGTCCCTAGGGCACCCAAGAAACCAGTGATCGTGACTCCGAATCCTTGTTCGTCTCAATGACATTTCTAGGTTTGTCAGCACCATACCGTGTTCGTGAAGTTCACCAAAGTGGTAAACGTCTGCGACCTGCATCACTTCGGGTTTTCCTCCCACATTAATAAGCTGGCACGCCGCGATACGACTGGAATACTGTTCAAAGCGGCGTTAAACCCAACTCACTCACTCACCCTTGATGGAAAAGTAGGACAAGATCGGCACCACTGTTTCGGAACATTTGAGACACACCTTATATACTATAAACAGCAAATACACAGTATATGCTCTGACATCACAAACATAGCGGTGTGGGAATTCCAGCTCAGACATACATGAGGTGAAACCTCCTAGCGAAACGTCCTGCTCACTGTCATCTGTGCACAAGCAGTCAGGATATCATTCCACCCGAATATCTACACACGCACGCACAGAGGGGACATGCCTATGTGGCCATGAGTCGTCCCTTCCAGTTATATTATAACATATGATACGGTACCGTCTGAACTCTAGGATTTCCTAAATTAGCTGTCGAATTCATTTTACACAACTGGTAATGTACTACTTACACTGATACACTCTTGAGATTCAGGGTTCTAATAGATCCCTAGAAAACAAATGTTGGTAAAAAAGAGGCGACCAAATGGTCCGGGTGGTCAATCTTGGTGACTTGACTGGTCGATGTTATGCATATGGTACCATGTGGCACGCCGTGGGTCGTTGCTTATACTAATATTGGTTGGTTTTTTTTTATCATATAGCTTGATTACTGCCAAGGGCAGCGTTAAACAACAGGCAAGTCTGGTATATAGATGTCTATTGATATAACTATTATGATAATAATCAAAATGTCGTATGGTAAAATTAATATACATCGAAATTGAAAAACTACTAACAATTTCAACTTAACCTTAAAATACATATTCTATTTTCAGATGACCTGAACTAAGACCGACCTTGACATGGATATGCCTGACCTTGACCTAGGTCTCCGCGAAGAGGAGTTCGTGGTTCAGAGAAACCCCGAGGCATTGCTTGGTGAGTGCATTTTCTTGTTTTTAATGCTGTACTCGGCAATAGCTACATTGTAAGTATATCACGGTGATCTGTATATGATAAAATCCGGACGAGACGAACCATTTATTGACATTAACAGTTATATCCCACGCAGTCGAAGTAATGACAATGGATGACACGATATCAACCAAGTCACCGAGTATGACCACCCGATTCATTAAGTCGCCTCGTACACGCATCCGTTGTCTAACTTAGAATCCATACGATGACGCTCCCCAGAAGAGGCCCCTCCTATATATACGACTCACCATTTGTGAGGGATCTGGTTTGTTTCATGAAACGCAACAAAGAAACAGCTGCTGGTGTACATGGAATGTGTTCTTACTTTTACTGACTTTAAATGAAGCTGAACATGCTCCTGTTGCATGGCAACGTGGGACACCATCTCCTAGCAACCAATCGTTCAGATTCCACACTCGAATATCCCTATCTTATGTATGGAAGTATAGTACTTCATTGATTGTATGACAACTTTTTAATGCAAATTGCCGCCAGAACTTAATAAAAAATAATTACGGTGCACCGTTAAATAATAAACAAACAAACAAACAAACAAACTTCTTCGTATAATATAGTGGTTATAAACATTATAAATAGGACATGTGAAGACGAAAATAGAATAGATAATCAGAATATATGCTCCAACTGTTATCAGACTGCGACTCCTGCAGTAGTGACGTCGAATAATGTTGAAAAAAACAACCCAAAAAACTTCAGCATAAAATCCTTCAACGCAAACATCCATGCGCTGTCTGGACAGAGTTCCTTCCCTTGGATTGTTGTTTCATTTTATATAAACTACCGGGCAAAGGAACGTAGACACCTTTGTTTGATGGTGGCCAGGAATGTAAGCAACAAGAAACAGATATCCGATGGCGATGTATTTCACACGGGTATGATAGTGGTGTTTTGGACCTAAAATTTGCAACGTTTCGGCGCCTGTTTACAGCCTAATAATGTCTTTATAACGAATGTATGTTTTTTGTTCAAATCCAATTTTCAAGTGCATACATTCTTTTGCCTGGCAATTTTGGTACATATTGGTGAGTACATACACAGGTTGCATATAGGGAGTTTCTGCATTATGCATAATACATATGTCATACAAAAACATAATAATTCTTAACAAAACAATTTATACAGACTTGTATTGTAAGATTAAATGTAAGTAATTCTCATACGCTGCAAGGTCTCTGTTGAACAATAGGTCGGAAAAACTTAAATCTGCTCCCATTATAGCTACTTCAAATCTGAACTAAAAATATTTCTATTAGAACAGTCTAACAGTTGATAAAGCGCACAGAGCATATTCGTTTTGTAAATAGCTGCGCTTTATAAATACATGTATTATTTTTATTTAATTATTATCAAAAAAACTAAAAAAGATTATTTTATAAGCACCCCGTGGGGACACTGGGTTGAAATAGTTCCCCAGAATCTATGCTAGTAGTTAGAGGTGATTCTGTGGATCGTGTGGTCAGACTCAGTTGATGCATGTCGTCGAACCCCGCTGCTCATGATATCAATCACTAGATCGTCTGGTTCAGACTCGATTATTTACAGACCGCCGACATATAGCTGTAATAACTGTATGTGGCGTTAAACAAACTGATTAAAGTGAAGTGTCACTGCTTAATTTGGTGCATACATGCAACTTGTCATTATTTCTTCTTTGATACACTTGCAAATGCAATAAATATGCGGTATAATATTTAGCAGAAATTGGTAGAGAAACGATTTATATATTATGTACCATTTTGTTGCAGATGTACTCACAATCCGATCTCTGCGCTCCCGGAAAATGGACCCGGAAGTGACTAGCATAGCGTCGGAACCTCTGCTCTCGTTAGATCGAGATATCGACACGTTTGTGCGAGACTTCAAAATAGATGATTCAATTTCGGATATTTTTGCAATGGATGAAGAACCAAAGACTCCAAAATCAAAACAGGTAATGTCGTCAAGTTTTGTCAACAAATTAGAACACAGATAAAACATAATCGATGTGAACCATACAATCCGGTGATTTATATTAATAGCAGCTATCCTCTCAAACTGTCAACTATCGAGTCGCAGAGCCTGACGATTAATTAACACGCATCTTAATACCTCAGCTTCCCAAGTTAGTCTTGCCATGAGAAGCAATGGAGACACATTCCTCCCCGGGGCCCCAAGGATACACATTCTACCCCGGGTCACCACTGGGACACATTCTACCCCGGGTCACCACTAGGACACATTCTACCCCGGGGCACCAAGGGATACACATTCTACCCCGGGTCACCACTGGGACACATTCTACCCCGGGGCACCAAGGGATACACATTCTACCCCGGGTCACCACTGGGACACATTCTACCCCGGGGCCCCAAGGGATACACATTCTACCAAGGGTCACCACTAGGACACATTCTACCCCGGGGCCCCAAGGGATACACATTCTACCCCGGGTCACCACTGGGACACATTCCTCCCCGGGGCCCCAAGGGATACACATTCTACCCCGGGTCACCACTGGGACACATTCCTCCCCGGGGCCCCAAGGGATACACATTCTACCCCGGGTCACCACTGGGACACATTCTACCCCGGGTCACCACTGGGACACATTCTACTCCGGGTCACCACTAGGACACATTCTACCCCGGGGCCCCAAGGGATACACATTCTACCCCGGGTCACCACTGGGACACATTCCTCCCCGGGGCCCCAAGGGATACACATTCTACCCCGGGTCACCACTAGGACACATTCTACCCCGGGGCCCCAAGGGATACACATTCTACCCCGGGTCACCACTGGGACACATTCTACCCCGGGGCCCCAAGGGATACACATTCTACCCCGGGTCACCACTGGGACACATTCTACCCCGGGGCTCCAAGGATACACATTCTACCCCGGGTCACCACTGGGACACATTCCTCCCCGGGTCACCACTGGGACACATTCTACCCCGGGGCCCCAAGGGATACACATTCTACCCCGGGTCACCACTGGGACACATTCTACCCCGGGGCTCCAAGGATACACATTCTACCCCGGGTCACCACTGGGACACATTCTACCCCGGGGCCCCAAGGGATACACATTCTACCCCGGGTCACCACTGGGACACATTCTACCCCGGGGCTCCAAGGATACACATTCTACCCCGGGTCACCACTGGGACACATTCTACCCCGGGGCCCCAAGGGATACACTTTCTACCCCCGGTCACCACTGGGACACATTCCTCCCCGGGGCCCCAAGGGATACACATTCTACCCCGGGTCACCACTGGGACACATTCCTCCCCGGGGCCCCAAGGGATACACATTCTACTCCGGGTCACCACTGGGACACATTCTACCCCGGGTCACCACTGGGACACATTCTACCCCGGGTCACCACTGGGACACATTCCTCCCCGGGGCACCAAGGGATACACATTCTACCAAGGGTCACCACTGGGACACATTCTACCCCGGGGCCCCAAGGGATACACATTCTACCCCGGGTCACCACTGGGACACATTCTACGCCGGGGCCCAAAGGGATACACATTCTACCCCGGGTCACCACTGGGACACATTCTACCCCGGGGCTCCAAGGATACACATTCTACCCCGGGTCACCACTGGGACACATTCTACCCCGGGTCTCCAAGGATACACATTCTACCCCGGGTCACCCTGGGACACATTCTACCCCGGGTCACCACTGGGACACATTCTACCCCGGGGCCCCAAGGGATACACATTCTACCCCGGGTCACCACTGGGACACATTCTACCCCGGGGCTCCAAGGATACACATTCTACCCCGGGTCACCACTGGGACACATTCTACCCCGGGGCCCCAAGGGATACACATTCTACCCCGGGTCACCACTGGGACACATTCCTCCCCGGGGCCCCAAGGGATACACATTCTACCCCGGGTCACCACTGGGACACATTCCTCCCCGGGGCCCCAAGGGATACACTTTCTACCCCGGGTCACCACTGGGACACATTCCTCCCCGGGGCCCCAAGGGATACACATTCTACCCCGGGTCACCACTGGGACACATTCTACCCCGGGTCACCACTGGGACACATTCCTCCCCGGGGCACCAAGGGATACACATTCTACTCCGGGTCACCACTGGGACACATTCTACCCCGGGTCACCACTGGGACACATTCCTCCCCGGGGCACCAAGGGATACACATTCTACCAAGGGTCACCACTGGGACACATTCTACCCCGGGGCCCCAAGGGATACACATTCTACCCCGGGTCACCACTGGGACACATTCTACGCCGGGGCCCAAAGGGATACACATTCTACCCCGGGTCACCACTGGGACACATTCTACCCCGGGGCCCCAAGGGATACACTTTCTACCCCGGGTCACCACTGGGACACATTCCTCCCCGGGGCCCCAAGGGATACACATTCTACCCCGGGTCACCACTGGGACACATTCCTCCCCGGGGCCCCAAGGGATACACATTCTACCCCGGGTCACCACTGGGACACATTCTACCCCGGGTCACCACTGGGACACATTCCTCCCCGGGGCACCAAGGGATACACATTCTACCAAGGGTCACCACTGGGACACATTCTACCCCGGGGCCCCAAGGGATACACATTCTACCCCGGGTCACCACTGGGACACATTCTACCCCGGGTCACCACTGGGACACATTCTACGCCGGGGCCCAAAGGGATACACATTCTACCCCGGGTCACCACTGGGACACATTCTACCCCGGGGCCCCAAGGGATACACATTCTACCCCGGGTCACCACTGGGACACATTCTACGCCGGGGCCCCAAGGGATACACATTCTACCCCGGGTCACCACTGGGACACATTCTACCCCGGGGCCCCAAGGGATACACATTCTACTCCGGGTCACCACTGGGACACATTCTACCCCGGGGCACCAAGAGATACACATTCTACCTCGGGGCTCCAAGGATACACATTCTACCTCGGGGCTCCAAGGATACACATTCTACCCCGGGGCCCCAAGGGATACACTTTCTACCCCGGGTCACCACTGGGACACATTCTACCCCGGGGCCCCAAGGGATACACATTCTACCTCGGGTCACCACTGGGACACATTCTACCCCGGGGCCCCAAGGGATACACATTCTACCCCAGGTCCCCAAGGGATACACATTCTTCCCCGGGTCACCACTGGGACACATTCTACGCCGGGGCCCCAAGGGATACACATTCTACCCCGGGTCACCGCTGGGACACATTCTATGCCGGGGCCCCAAGGGATACACATTCTACTCCACGGGAATAATTATCTTGGTAATGGAGATAAAAAATAGAGATGAAACACATGTAGCAAGTGAGTGTGTTCGAAATATGCATCTGTTCACACAGCAGTGAAGGGGTACCCGACAGTAAGATATCGTAATATGACTGTCAAAATTCTAGGGCCTAGGTTGTATGTCTTTATTATTATTATGTTATCAGTTATGGCGTTTTAATCTCAGCGTACGGACATTCATATCTTATGTGTATCTAAGAATACTGTTTTTATATATGTCATATTAGTTGATTTTATGTCCGCTTGAATGAACTTCTTTTAGCAAATAGAAACACGGTTATTTCCCTTAAGTCGTAGCTGGATAACAGAACATTCCCCTGAAACCAGGAATCAAATGTCATGAAAATTTAATATCCTTATGTGATATCATTCCTTGTGAATAATCCATTTTGTGAAACATGTCTATCACCACCCTATTGAAGATCAGGGTTAGAATTGGTCTTCCGCGTCTCATGCTCCACCATTCGTGACCAACTCGTGTTATTCCGGGACAAACCAAGGTTACGGAAAGGGGCGAGTAGTGACGAATGCCTCTTGGTCGGTTCTGACGTGGAGCATCATTCGTCACCACTCGCCCCTTTCCGTAACCTGCAAGAAGACTCGTCCCCCTATCGATGAATGTTATGTGCGAATATACGACAAACCAATCAGAATGCGCGTATGACTTCAAATTCTTCGTCAAAGAATCCCTCAGAAATAATTTTTGATTTTATATATGTCTTGCATCTAAAAATATACCCAAGACACAGTTAAATGTGTTCAATCATACTGTATAATTTCGCATGTCCCGATGTGCTTTAAATTGCATCTGAAATATATATTATATATGGGGAAAGATAAGTGAACCATTACGCAACGAGTTGACAATTGTTTTAGGTATGCCCCTTTGCGCTAAGACGGAACCCGGTCGCAAAAATGGCCATGTGAGGGGCACGAGTCGCTATTCGGCTTGTCCCGGAATAACACGAATTGGTCACGAATGGACCCAGAGGTTGAACCAGAATTTCAAAACTGTGCATGCGCATGCTCGCGCGTGCGTGCGTGCGATCGAGCGTGTGTGTGTAAGTGCTTTCACATAATACAAAAACAAGACATTTTTAAAAGGGAGGGGTAACAAAATATCAAAATCCTCTTTCAGTCAGTTTTACTGCCTACAACCTACTACATGTCCGGACCCGTGAAGATCCGGGGTAGAATAGGTCTTCAGCAACCCATGCTTCCCGTAAAAGGCAACTATGCTTGTCGTAAGAGACGACTAACGGGATCCGGTGGTCAGGTTCGCTAACTTGGTTGATGCATGTCATAGATCCCAATGGGGTGGATCGATGCTCAAGATGTCAATCACTGGATTGTCTGTTCCAGGCTCGATTATTTACAGACCCCCGTCATATAGCTGAAATATTGCTGAGTGCGGCGTTGAACAACAAACCAACCAACCAACCAACCTCTGGGTCCCCAGTTACAGTTTACAAAAAGAGCTGTACGCGCACCCTGCACCATCATCCCACTGTGGGTCCCCGAGTGAGGCTCGCCGACTTGGTACATGCATGTCATCGTATCCTAATTGTGTATATCGATGATCATGATGTCAATCACTGGATTATCGGGTCTAGGATTGTTTCTTTACAGACCACCGTCATAGGTGCAAAATTCCAGCGTAGGTTAACAAAAAAAACTGTCTCATTCGGTCGATTATATTCGTTTATTTGTTGTCCACTCTCTGGTCCACATATTTGCTTGGTCGTCGGACGACAAAACCTTCGACTTCTCACCTCGAATAAGTTGACCTTTGGTTCAAATGACGCCATATTGTTTAATAAGTTAATCTCTTGCAGGGAGTAAATCTGGATCGCGTGACTTGAGGCCCCGAATGGGTGACGTTAAACGGCGTCAGATATCTCAGTACCGTAATCCATTGCCTGGATTCAGTCTGCATATTGATTCATGTAATCATTCCTGTAAATATCATGTAATTCGTGTAATTTTAACTCATTATTAACATTGATAACATATTTGGTGTTCCCCAGCTATAAATGCTTGACGTAAAAGGCGACTAAATGGAACTGGTTGACAGGCTCCGTGACTTAGGACGTTGTCTCATAATAGCAACTACTGGACTTGTCCGGCCTACACGAGATTATTGACACACCACCATCATAAAGCTGAAATATTGCTTACTACGGTAAACAATACTCAAGCACGCGCACACGCACGCACGCACTTAATAGTTTATATTAACAATCCGATTGTTCGGATGAATCGATATCTACGGTTCTCGAACTCAATTTATTCGATGTCGTTTCAGATAATGTCATGTCATTCTGACCTCAGCGCCTTAATGGTCTCATATTGACACCCCGCTTTTACAGAACTACCGATAACTCGATTTTCCTTTGATGTTCACGAGGACTTAAAGGTAACGAGTTTTCTGTGTATCTAATTCTATCTGACTGTTTCTTTCAGAAAGCTGCAATGAGCCTTCACGGGCCCATCCAGTCTAAGGGTTCTAAGAAATCCTGTCGACGTGCTCAGTCTGTCGATAACATCCTGGAAGCTACTGAGATTGGTTCCACCAGTTCCAAGAAACAAAAGACATTCAGCAGTATATTTTCCAGGAAATCAAAGGCGAAATCTGAAGCTCGAAAAAATAAAGTTTTAACATGGCATACGGACATCAACAATATGCCTCACGCAGCGTCAGAAATAAAACAAAGTGGAGGTAACTCTAAATCTGTTCGTGATAAGGTTGAGGATGTCGACGGTGGATATATGACCATGAATAAAGCTGTGTACACAGGTTCGAATCCCCCAAAGGGCGGTACCAAAGACAAGGGTTTTGTTGGACTGGAAGAAAACCATCATAATCTAGACAGTGGATATGCTGTTTTACACACGGTATGCACAAACAACTCCGCGTATGATGCACTGGTGCAATTCATTGACAGAGGACACAAGGAGGACTTGGTAAGGAGATCAGTTCGTGTGGTATATACGTGTAACTACCCAATGTATACACTATTGGTACATACTTAAATTGGGTCTATGGAATAATTCCCATTTGTGTGTAACATAAATTTATGTCCTCAAAACTATTTCGCTAATTGCCAGTGATGGGTTTTTGTATTGAGACAGATATATTTTTTAGCTTTTGGGGCAAAACCAGATATTCTTTTTAATTAAGACTATGAACCAAAATGTTTTTAATTTTCGGGGACAATTTATTTTTAAAATCCCAATGTGGTTAAAGCGTACGCTCGTCACGCTAGGGACACGGATCCGATTCCCCACATTGGTACAAAGTGCGAAGCCCATTTTCAGGTTCCCCCGCCGTGATATTGCTGGACAATTGTTAAAAGCGACGTAAACCACACTCACTAGTGACTTAATTTCTTATTAAATTATCTCTTTGGCAGATACATGACCTGAGCACTATGCCACCAGAGGTCGCCTGCACTCTGTGCGACATCCGAGGAAACACTATTCTCCACAGGTGTGTTCTAAAGAACAAGGTCAACTTTGTGTCGGCCATAGTCTCAATACATCCGGGGCTTCTTTCCCGTCCAAACAAGGAGGAGATAACTCCGGCTGAACTGGCTGTAAAGGTAGGTTTTCGGGTCGGTTACAGAGCTTTGGCATTGTCAAAACGGTACTGTCCCTTTTGAGATCGTCCGGATTAACGGAATCATTAGAGGCTCCATTAAATTGTATATTGATATTAATTCTTCGGAAGCGGATTAACGGGAGTTCTGGATTAACGAGGTTGAGATTAACTGGATCCAGACTGACGAGGTATCACCGTTTATGTTTTTAAAACGCTAAAGAATCACGAACTGAGGTGAAATGGGGTTTAACTTTGCGTTGAAGATTATGGTACTTATATAGCTACGCGCGTGCACGTGTGTGTGTGTGTGTGTGTGTGTGTGTGTGTGTGTGTGTGTTGGCGGGTGCTGGTTCTCTGACGTTCACTCTTCGTCCGAAAACATCCCACAGATGCTGTATTGGGGACGTGCCAGGACACTTAGCGGGACAGTCCAATGTCCGGGTGCCTTCTCGTCGGTATCCTCTGACATTGTCATCTTGCAGTTCAAACATTCTACAAATAATTCGTGCTACGGCTGTCACTAGTTCCCTTATTTTTAGTCGGTAGTATATATATAACGGAGGTTGTATCAAACTAATTCGACCTGTGAAGACCCGGGGTCGAATAGGTCTTCAGCAACCCATGCTTGCAGTAAAAGGCGACTATGCTTGTCGTAAGGGGCGACTAACGGGATCGGGTGGTCAGGTTCGCTGACTTGGTTGATGCATGTCATCGATCCCAATTACGTGGATTTATGCTCATGATATTAATCACTGGATTGTCTGGTCCAGACTCGATTATTTACAGACCGCCGTCATACAGCTGGAATATTGCTGAGTGCGGTGTTAAACAACAAACAAACAACAACAAACTAATTATAATAATCGCGTTGTGAGTTTGACTTAGAGAATCACCTGAACCAAACATATGGAACCCATGTATAACATTTGTACCGCATTGACATAATGTTTCTCAGCGATGACCGGTAGAACCCGCCCCTACCCAATTCCCACATGGTGCTGACATCTTAAGAGGATAGCCTCGGTGCATATGGGACTCGCAACCACTTTTCACAGAACGAGCAATGACATTACAAATAAGTACATTCAGTTTGCCTCGCTAAAAAAGGACACAGGACACCGACAAATAGATGGAAAATAGCTCAGTTTGGTATTAGACAAGAACAAACTTGATCCGCTTATTTCGATACAAAATATCCCCCCAGCCTCTACGCACACAGGGAATGGTCGGTCCATTATCTGATCTATTCTTGGAGAATAACACCGCCCTATTTTGATATCCAAATTGGGATACACATGCTGCTACATATTCGCAGGAAGTCAACATCACAGTTTGTATGCCCGGGACTGTTTCCTAAAATAAATGAAAACATTGATTAACTCTCACTGTGAGCTATTCACAGCGAGTAAGCTTCTTTCTTCGGATTGGAAGAATATCGACTCGAAGAAGATGTAATGTCATTGAATTTTCCGTGTTGTGTAATACGGAGTGCTTGAAAGAAAATTAAAAGTTGGTAGAATGTTTGCCATCGTTCCCCTTCGGTGAATGACGTTGAATATAATATCATTTGAGTATCTACAGGACATTGTGATACAGCCGTTTAAAACATTTCAGTCATATCACGACGTGTCCGCTTTATGTTGGAAGAAAATCCGAAGTAGTGCAGGTCTTAGACGAGTTTTCTCTCACATTTTGTGAAACGGACATGGTGCCGACAAACATCTAAAGATAATCAGGACCAATAGTGGATTAGAAACAACGATCGTAGGTTTCGGGGTAGGAAAGGAAAGCAACTCTGCACAGAAATTGAGCGACAAAGGCGACAGAGCCAACAGTGCCAGCAGTGTCAATGTGTCCCACACTTGCTGGAATATTCTGACTGCCGCATAGAACAAACAAACAAACAAACAAGTGGTTCAGAATTGACTTCAATAATATTTGTTGCGTTTATGGAGGTGTACACATTACATACCGTGAAACTTCGCGGGATGGCTATTCTCAATAATATGGACTTCATAGATTGCTTAGTTAATCACAAACACAAAACACTATAGATAACAATACCCCATCAGTTAGATCGATTACAACAATAATGCGACACAAGAGCCGTCCATTCTATTATCAGCCAATCGTGAAACACTATTCCGTGGGTTGGCGTAGCCTGTTTGTTTCGCTGTGTGGAAACCTAACACAAAAAGTGCTTGGTTAGCCAATCAAACGCCACGGAATCACTTGCAATTTTCTTTTAATGAAAGCACCATGGTAACCCGATGACGTCAATCGTGAATGGCGGGTGCTACCGGTGTCATCACTGATGTAGAGTGGTCCATTCAATTTCACAGCTATTTTGCCCTTTGCGCCAAATGGAATCTGTGTCTGTGGATAATCAAGACTGGTTATTCTCTTCCATTGACGTTATATATTCACATCATTGACCACTGCTTTGTCCTGCCTGTGTCGGGTAACTTGAAGATGTAGTGTTGCCTGCGGCGTCAAACAGCTGGCTAGGTTTGATCAGATAACTAATGCTATGAAGACACATTTGCTCCTGACAACATTGCTAACCTTCGGGGTATTGCCAGGGGATGGCGAATTTACGTCTCGTGCCTCCGAGATTATTGAGTATTGAAATTGATAGCGTGGCGGGTTGCTCAATATACAGAGATAATCAAATATCCTTCGGTTACTCAAGTTAGATCAATTTTCTTAAGCTGTGTGTTTCTCCTCTCCAGAAGTTAAGAAATAAAAGACGAGTGGGAGAGCAATCGTACAATAAAACACTACAAAATAGACTTGATAATTCTCCCTGGGGGGTTTCTTTATACGATAAACAACAACCACGAGTCGTTTATTTCTTATATGAGATATCAACATTATGTACAGCCTCTTTAAAGATGTTGATAGATGTGCAAGTTTAAAAAATAGTTACCATAATTTTAATAATGACGACTCCCTGAATAGAATCCATCCTCGGCAATGTCTGACAAGTCCATTTTAATGAACAGGTGGGTTAAGTTTGGTATTTCCCGCATATTCTCACAATCCTCACGTGGTATATCTGTACCTTTGCTCCTAATATTCTCATATCTCTCCCACTTTTGGATGAGATCGTACGGCCACTGCGTTTATCTGCGCACCCCAGCTACATCTATGGGGAATAATTCACTAGACACTTCCCTCTCAAAAGTAACGTTATCCAATATATGACGTCATCAAGCGGCGAGCGCATATTCGAATCTCCAGCAATAACGTCATAATAGAACAATGTTTATCGTCAAATAAACCACGCTTCATTGCTCTTTGCGATTTATCGCGGAACTATCTTATATTCTGTAATTGAGAATCTCACTTAAGTGTCTTGGGACATGAAATATATCAAGACATGCCAGTTCCGAAGCTTGCCTTAGTGGTTTGACGACTGTTGATATGTTTGACATTAAACGAGGACAGGGAGACATTCTATCTATAATCCAAAATAATTCCTCCAACATTTTTTATGTAACCAGTATTACAAGGTACGTTTCGTTATTTGATGTGATGTCATTTGATTGTGACGTCATGGTAACCGATGGCATCACAATGGTCTGCAATTTAATATAAACATCCGGTAGTTCAGGCATTATGTTCAGAAGAGGTGTTTTATTACCAATGTTGGTTCCTGCTTGGCTTATTGTCACACACAAAATCTGCTGTCAAAATCTTGTCTTGCTGGGAGAGATGAATACATTCTGGCATCCTTGAAACGGATGTTCCACTTACATGTACAATAGAAACCCATGCAGAATGGCGTTACATCAAAAAATAATCATGCATGTGCAACAACATCTTGTCCTTTAATCAATGTAGAAAACTGATGTCATTGGGTAATGTTTTGTTATCCTTGTGGAAATGTATTAAAGTTGACGTCATAAGGCATTGTGATGTTGGCGAGTCCTGAGTACTCAAGGAAGGTCTTGAATCAGGAATAGAATCCCTCTATTGAGCGATATCCTTCAAATGAAAAACCGACAATCAAACTGCAGTTTGAGTACTTCTCTGACAGAATGTCCGACAGTGCTACGGCGTGGTGTGAAGTAGATTTATGTGTTTGCTCTTCACACTCGGATTCCCCTCTCCACGTGGGTAAATTGTTAGATGGTCATTTGCAGAGTCCCCGTGGTGATAGAAAGTGTGATAAAGCCTTCTGGCTCGATAAACCATTTATTATTAGCTATGTTTGCATTGGATGGGGAGGTCACGCGGAAAGAGGTAGGGGATGGAGGAGGGTGTTGCTTGGACATTCGTGAATTGGAACTGTTCTACATCAGTCCGGAACTTCAATGTCCATCGTCCAGTGGCTAGGGAGAAAACTGACTGTGATAGCCTGGAATTTCTGTTCTCGATCGTATCGCCACTGGTGTCTATTACGGGTTATGTCCCTTCTATGTCCTTCCTATTGACCATTCAGATTCCACCATATAACTTGCGGCGCCCAGTCAAGACGATATGATTGATAATAAAAATATATGTGGTGATAAAACGGGTCTTACTTCGCATAAATGCATCAGATCACGTGAGCACCTTGATTAAAAACATGAAAAGATTTGGAACACATCTGTTGACGCCGAATTGGCGGTACACATGCTTTGAAGATCCTGCAATCGACCAAAATCTGTACGGCAATTTACGAACCGGATGTAAACTTCGTAACGCGATTTTGATAGCCAGCCAAAATACAACTCCATAATTCCAGCCTAGTTTGGTCAGTTAACTGCCTTGCCTCGGGAAGATGTCAAGCATGCTTCAATGAATGCGTTTCTGAAGACGGGGAGAGTGGAAGTTCGATGATTCGATTCCCGACCGCGTCATAGCAATAGGCGTTAATAGATGGTACATGTTGTTTCACTGTCTGGCACTTGATATTAAGGGGACTGGTCGGCTCGGAGTCACACTTCACCTCACCGGAAGTACCACTGAAGAAAAGCATCCATTCGCAAATTTCAACAAGCCCCCTTCTTACCA